TTTGCTTTAAATCATCAGCTCAACGGTTTTATGTTAGATATTAACTGTTATGTTTTTTATTAATCCTGAATTATTTTTTTTATTGTGAGAAATCTTGGTGCTCAGGTTCCTTTCCAGAGCCACAAAGCACTTTAAGATAAAGTTAAGCTTTTCTTTTTTCAGCCTTAGTCTTTTTTAACTTGTAACATTCATTTTGTTCTCAACTTAGTTCGAAAAGCAAAATTTTACACACAAGCTTTACTTTGTTTTACTAAATTATGCAATTTCTTTTAAGTATTATATGCTTCATCATGTATCATTTTCTTTATGCAACTATTGTTTGTTATATATGAGCACCTTCTGGGAGATTAGTTCAACACTAGAAAAGAACAAAAAGAGATTCATTTCTAAGTATTTGCCATTTTATTTTCAGTATTCTAAGTACAGAAGTAACGTAAGATTGAAGTTTGGGATCAAGGTGTCATGTTTTGATTTAATCTAGCAGAGATTAGCCTGTGCCATGAGTTTTGTTTAAAGTTTCGATTAAAATGCAGCCATTTATGTAACATTTGATGCTGATGAGCGTCTCCACTGCCGAAGCTCTGCAGCTCAAAGACACTGAATATTCTGGGCAATAAGATCTGCAATGTGAACTTTGTGTGTTTTCTAAAGGTTGAGATGTTATTTCATATTTTCCTTCATGTGCTAAGGCAGCTATTTCATATCATTTTTCTCACCACATAAATAAACTAAAACCTTAAAAGGTTTGTGGAGTCAAACATATTTTTTTTATTTCACAAACGATAGAATTAGCCTAAAGCAACTTTTTAGCGTTAGAAAATTAACCTGTAGAAAAAAAAAATAGTTTAACTTAATTGATCTCACACTGGAGAAATTCACCTCTGCATTTGACCCATCCCTTTGGGGAGCAGTGGGCTGCCATTGTGCGGCGCCCAGGGAGCAGTGTGGGGTTAAGGGTCTTTGCTCAGTGGCAGTCTGTGGGACTGGGACTTGAACTCAGAACCTCTGGATTCCAAGCTCTATGCTCTATACACTAGGCAGCCACTCCCCTAACTAAAATTAACTCTAACTGATGTTTAAGAATTGTATTAGTTTATTCAAAATAACCATATCATAGTACAGAATTGGAGCAGTTATGGATTATCTGGGATTAATATAATAGGAATAATTAACATTTAATTTCATAATAGACTGCTATTCTGATCTCAGAGGACAGAGATAACAATGATGCAGCAGATTTTAAATCTTAGTTGGCATATAAACAAGCATTAGCAGTGCAGCACAGCTAGTTGCTTCAGGAATTTAAAAAAGGAGCATCCATGACCCGCAGTTGCTCCTACCAGTATGGCGCCGTTTACTATGATGCCCTTTTGTTTTTACCACAGAACATATCAGTCTCAAATCCTTCTAATGCTCAACTTGTGTCTACTTTAATGCAAGTAAGCTGAAATAATCCTTTGCTCAAATGTTTAAGAAATTGTTTAATTGCATTTATGTGTCAAATGAGCATTTTATGTAACTCTTTGAACCAGATATTCAAAAGAAAACAAGGCAAATGAAAATGAAGTTTAAAATCCTTTTATTGTAGTGTTGGTAGAAACCCACAGTGCAATAAAATAGGCTGCTATAGCAATTCATTAAGGTGATATAAAAGTAAAGGGAAACTTCTTAAGATTAAAACTGATCAATTGTTTATGTGTTTGCAATGTTTAAGTTTGTGCTTTCAGCCATATAAATATAGCTTAGGTGGTTTCAGTGGAAGTACTGGAACTAAAGCCAGCAAGGCGTCTATTCCATCGACTAAAGGTTGCTGCAGAATAAAATCGAATCAGCTCCCAGAGCGTTCAAACATTTCCAATGAATATCTTTATTGCGTTTAGACAGTTTGATCTGTTTTTTTTTTTTTTGTTTTTTTTTTTGAATATCTTATCAAGCTAAGCACAGTCTCAATTTGAAAAAGGAAAAGCTTAAATACTCTCAGTTTCATCCATTCTAACTTTTAGATTTTTAATAACGTAGTGGAAATGAGCAGCTGCTGTAGATCGTCACTGATTATCACTCAGCTTTGTTAGCACAGTGTCCTGGTGCTTTAAAGGACACGATGTAGAACTGTGAACATATTGTGCTCCTGGAGGAGATCCAGTGAGGCCCGCAGGTGGTGCTCAGAATAATAATAGACCTTCACAGTAAACAGAGAATCTGCATTAGTCCTGTGACACTTCCTCTACAGATTTACTAAAGCTTTGGATGGAGAAACAGAATGGATCAAAGATACTAGAAAAAGCTTCCTAAAAATAAAACAAATCTACAAAACTAACTAGGGCTGCGGCCAATGATTATTTTGCTAATCGATTAATTTGTTCCTTAAAGAATTTTTATTTTTTTTTTAACAGAATTAAACAAGGTGAAACTGAAACTTTTCCACTTAAGCTCTGGATAATGCATATTGAAAGATTACCTTTTTTATTTATTTATCTTAAATGCAAAATATTTATATATTTCTCTTACAATTTTGGTATAATTACTGCCCTAAGTGGGTTACTCTGTTAGCTAAAGGCATGTTTAAAGTCTTTATACTACAGTTAATGACTAATCAATTACTAAATTAGTTCTAAATCATTTCAATAATCGATTAATCAGATGGTTTCAGCTCTAAAACTAACAACTTCAAAATATCTTGTTCCATTTTTTTATTTTAAAAAAAATAAACAGAAAAGGAAAAAGGCCACTGTCTACTACTAATTTCTGAAAATTGAAATCTGTTCCAAATACGGTAAACAAAATATTTTAGGTTTTGTTGGATATTAAACAAATCACTTCCTTTAGGGTCCAGAAAATTAAGGGAACATGTAAACAAATGGAATAGACAAAACGTGGAATCAATAAAGGAGGATCACAGACCACTTCTCAGTATCTATGGTTTCTGGACGATGTTTTGGTCCCTGTTGAATGTTGGTGGTGCTTTCAGAGTAGTGGTTGCATGGGACTGATTCTAGCTGAGGCTAGAAGGTTTGCTGTGTCCGTCACTGTAGAGTCCAGAGGCTGGTGGTGCAAGAGATGTGGAGGAGGCCGTAGGAGGGCAATGACCCAGCAGCAGGACCGCCATCTTTACAGTTATGCAAAGAGGAACAGGAGGTGCACTGCAAGAGCCCCTGCAAAATTATCTCAAGCAGGCCACAAATTTGCACGTGCCTGCACAAACGGTTAGAAACCAACTCCATGAGGATGATATGAGGGTCCGGCAGTGGATCAGTAATCGTGAAAATCATCGGAGGTAGCATGACCGCCATTAGGTACCAAGAGGAGATCTTCAAACCCCCTTGTGAGACCATATGCAGGACGATGCTAGATGCTACTGTATGTGGCTAGAGTTTGTCAGCAGTTCCTGCAAGATGAAGGCATTGAAGCTATGGAATCGCCCACCCATTGCCCAGACCTAAATCTGATAGAGCACATCTGGGACATCATGTCTCGATCCATCCACCAATGGCACATTGCACCACAGACTGTCCAGGAGTTTGCAGATGCTGTAGTCCAAGTCTGGGAGGAGATCCCTCAGAACATCCACAGGCATTGTAAGGTCATACAGGCCCATGGAAGCCACACACAATACTGAGCCTCCTTTTCACCTGTTAAGGACATTACATCAAAGTTGGATCCGCCTTTAGTGGGTTTTCCACTTTGTGTCTGACTCCAAATCCGGGTTTCAATGTAACAGAACAAAGTATTCAAGGATAATATTTCATTCATTCAGATGTTATTTTAGTGTTCCCTTTATTTTTTGGAGAAGTGTATAACAGCATCATTCCTTACATTAGAATGGTTAATGGTTTGCAAGAAACCACTTTACATCGTTCTAAAAGTGTGACTATAACAGTTCATACTTTGGGATTTTTTTTAATAATAGCCTATTATATGACTTCCAATGCATTTAAATATTGCTTATTTAACAGACCAACTTAGAGTAGTTCCTAATTTTAAAGTGTAAGGAAAATATGTCATTTAATTTTTTTGTTTAAAGAAAAATCATGCATTTATATTTAAAGCTCTTCACTGCAATGTCCTAAAATAAAGCCAGTGCAAACAATCGCATGTAGAACTCACCAAGAGCCAATCTAAGGAAACATCATCAGCAGACAGCTCAGGGATAAAGCTGAGAAGTTTAAAGCAGAAAAGACTACAAAAAAAATCTAAAAGAAATTTCTGATCCACTTTAAAAGGATATAACAGACAATGAAACTAAGATATTACAAGCTAAACACTAACCAAGGAGAGCATTTATTTAAGACTGTCTGTAGGAGCTGCAGACATCCTCAGGTCATTGAAGAAAACAATCTGCAGCATTATTGCTCTCCAGACATTTGGAAAACCACCAATGCACATTAGCCTGAAGCCATCAACCTCAGTGTAACAAATGGTGGTTTCCAATATCATGCTTTGGGGAATGTGTCGCTCTCCCAGTAAGAACAGGGAAACTGGTTAGGGCTGATGGGAATATAGATGAAGGGGAGCAAAGGTTCACCTTCCAATAGTAAATGCAGCCACAACTATACTGGACTGGTTCATTTAACTCATATCCTTGTGTTAGAATGTTTAAAGTTAGTCTAAGAAGGTACAATAAAGAGCTTATTGCAAAATAAAGTCAACGATCAGAACAAAAACTAATGAAATTTAAAAAATACATTGAATGATTTGTTGTAACTTGATCAAATGTGTGTAAATAGTTTTGCAAAGCAGCGTACTTCTCTTTTCAATAATGCTCCCCACCTTTAGCAAACAAATCAACTACAGCGGTTAGCAGCGCGGCGTTGAGCGCTAAAGGAGCCACATGCTGAGCAAACATCATGCAGCCCTTGTAAAAACACTGCATCTCAAACTGACAGCTGTTTTGGTTCCAGACCAGATTTGCATCGCGTCTGAGCGCGCCTTTTTACCTTCCATGATTCACCATCATCCTCATCTCCCAGGAGGAAACGCAGACAAACAAATCAGAGCAAAGAGAGGCTTTATATTTAGGAGGGATTTTTTTGCATTTATTTGCATCAACAGACAGTAAATACAGCTGTTCTCTTCTCCATGTCTGAGTGGTCCTACAGTAAGCTGAGGCTTGTATGTTTACTGGCTTAATAGTCGCGATTCTGCTGCCGTTACACAACAACACGATCATTGCAGGGTTTACAGTCTCACAAATAATATACACCCTCATACAGGCTTCCTACCTCATACTCGATCATAATTAAAAACTAGTACATTTTGCATATTAATATAAGCTTGGAAAGCTTTAGAAAATATTCACATACTTTAACTGAGTTACAGCACTAGAATATTGCATAGATTTTTAAGACATAGGACTAAACGTTAGGTCGTCAGTACCTCTAAATGCAGGTACTCTGTTATCGCTCAACACACTGAGATTTCAATCTATTAGTTATCTAATGAGGGACTCATTATGCCAAACTATGGTTACAAAAAAATTCATAAGATAGATCAACTGAATATTTGAAACACAACACCATTTTTTAATGAAAATAACTTTTTATCTTGGATTTGAACTGGGCACATCATATATTTTCATTAAATACGTATTTTACCCATATTAGTTCAATTGAAGTACCAAGCAATGACATTCCCTGACAGGGTTTTAATCAAAGTTTTTAGATGGCTAATGAGGAAATAAAAAAAAAATACACAAATATTGAAATCAACAAGAAATTTGAATAAAACACAGATATATTTATCGAAAAAAAAAAAAAAATGACAAAGAAAGATCCTGAATTCATGAGATGGCCACTGATGGAAAGTGAGTATTTCTCCTGAATATCTCACCATCTTTCACCCTCTCCTGTGGCTTCATCATCATCATTATCCTCAGTGTCTTTGGTCCATGTGCACAATGTCAAGATGGAATGTCAAAACAAGACAAAGAAACAAAGAAAAACATAAGACAGATGTGGTCGTTGCTATGGATGATGGAGGACAAATCCATGGTCGTGTGTGGATGGGTGTGCTGCGCCCCAAAAATTAACTGAAAAACAATGAAATAAAGAAAAATAAAGTAAATCAATGACTGACAACATGCAGACAGAGGAAAATGAAAGTTTCAGCAATGATTAAGTGACAAATAAAAAGAAAATCTAACTATAAAACCTGTTTGTTTATTGACGTGTTGCAAAATGCTACATTTGTTCAAGATTTAATATAAGAAAATAAAACTCACTTTATTAGTCAACCAAAGCAGGAAGTACTTGAACATATTCACAAAATGGAAGACCATTTGGTGTGATGTTTACACTAACAGTGTGAGTGAGCAGCCACAAGAGGGCGCCACATGTCAGCTTTTCAACTTCCTCAGTTTGGGCCAATCAGAAACAGGCTCTCAGGTTGCTTTCAGTTTAAAGCTGCTCATTTTTCAAATTACAAAAAATACTTTTTTCAGGTAAGAATCTTTTGGCACATTTATCTCTTTTGGTGTAACTGGCAACTTCAGAAATGAAAGAAGGTAATAACTGCCTTCTTATAATATGGATAATGAATTCTACAAAAAGCTTTTCATAAACTTTAATAATTCACTCTTCTGAGTATGTGTATGAACACCTTTAAGTGAACTCTTTCCTAATATGTATTATTTTAGAACCTAGTCCTGATTATAGTTATTTGATGAACTTAAACTGAGAAACTCTCTCATTAAAGCGGATGTGAAGAAAATGCTGCCTTAGCTACTTTTGAGTCAAATCCTTGGTTGCATGAGCACTTTAAGCCACTGAGTAGACAGTACTGTCTATGAAGCAAGTAGACTCTATCCCTCCTTTGAACTTAATAACAAACCAAAAGCTAATGCTCCATCAATCACAAAACACAGATTATGCCAAGTCTCTCCTGATTCCTGCGTCTTATTAGTAATTCCTCCTAAAAAGGCAAATAAGGTACTTTGACGTTTCTTGCAATATTTTATCATAAGTGAGGATTTTGCCTATACATTTAAAGGTTTAAATCAAAGAGGATCCTGTAGCAGTTTATTAACCAGCAACTTAAAATGTAGTTAAAAAGCTGGAAAATACAGTTTAATAATGAGGAAATCAGGTTTAAAAAGTTGCAAATGATTCAAAACAGCAAGCATATATATTGTTCTTCACTTCACATGTCTGATAAATAAACTAAAGCTATAACTAGGTCTTGATCAGTGTGAAGTAGCAAAAAAACCTGCTAGTGCGTAAGTGGGGACGTTTTTTAAACTCCAGCATTTTGTGCAAAACGACGAACACAATCAGGAAATTAATAAGCCCCTGATTAAACATGCTTGTTTACAAACAAAATAATCTGTAGATTCCTTAAAGTCACGTATGGTTTTAGGCTTCCAAGAGAAACAACATTTTATCGTTGGTTAATTTCAAAACAAACAGAATTCTCCCAGGGGTTTTATTTTAATGATGCATGCAGCTTCCTGCTACAGAAGAAAATATTCACTCTGGATTGAAGAGAAGTTATTAAATCATTATAAAAGATTTTTGTGTTCTATAACTAATGTTTTCAAACTAAAATCCACTGATGTTTTAAAGTTTGTTGCACTTCAACTGCAGTGGAAACAATACAGGTACATCTGTAATTTCAGCAGGTTTTGTCTGAACGATGCATCACTTTTTGCTGCCTGAGGGATTGAGCTGAGGGCCTCCACCCAAAGTATCCTGAATAATTAGAGCCAAACTAAAGGAATGAGTGAAAGCACAGGAAATGTTAAACTTGGGCAGGACAAAAAAGGGGGGGTGGAAGTTCCCTTCACACTTTCCAGGTCCTTAAAATCCAGATGAAGTGTTTGCGATTTGGAGATAATTTCATACCAGCTGGGCACACTCCTTTCAAAGGACTCATTAATCAGAGAATTTGCTGCTGGACATGGCAAACAGCAAAACTAGAGCATCTATTGATGGATAGTGTTTCAACCATGGAGCACACAATGGGAGGAAGGAGGGAGCTTCAAGAAATTAGAATGCTTAGAAAATAAAGTGTCCTGATAATAGAAGAATACAGGAAATGAGTCATTAAGAGGAGAAACTGCCTTACTTCTTCTTGTCCTTGTCTTTCTTGAGGGGCTGATTTAGAGAGAGGGTCTCAACCGCCAACTTCTTCCTGTTGAAGGCGTTCATCTCATCCTCAAGCTCTTTCCGCTTCTCCTCTACCTTCCTCTTTTCATCCTGGTGCATCCGTTTCAGCTGCTCAAACTTTTCATGAAGCTGAGGAACGGAAACAAATAGAATTAAATGGGACAACCGGAGAATTTAAAGAAATGCATGCTGGGAAATTATATTATATTTACCCTGTCTATGGTAAATATTGACATTTTCATCAACTCTTTATGCTTAAATAAAATATAAAACATAAGAAAAACCAAAAGTTGACCAAGAGGTAATTTTAAATTTTTTTCTTTCTTTAAAAAAAACTTAACACTTTTTTCTGTTCTGGTTTTCAGACCAGCAGCTTTTCCTTTTATAGATTCAGCAACTGGAACTGTTCGCTCTCAGGGTGTGAAGGAAGTGAAGCGGCTAAGGAGTTTCAAAAGTCGACCAGAAATGCCTTAATAGTAAAGATAAGAAATTTGTATTAAAGTTTAGTTCACTATCAAACTGATTAACCATACACCTCTGGACTTGTGGTCATTTTTCATGAGAAGATGTCTGACTTTTCCAGAATCAGCCTTTCAGTATCCAATTGTTAAGCTATAACAGGGATGAAGAGAAGCGTCTTTTTATTGGAGAAATAAGTTTAACCTCTCTGGCGCATGCTTCTTATACGCCCTTAGCATACAAGAAGGCAGAGCCGCCAAGAAGGCAGAGCCTTTGGAGAGAGCAGGCTCCTGCTTAAAACCTATGACTGTGGTGGCATCAGCCCTCCTCTACACTGTCGCCTGCTGGGCTCCTGGCAACGCAGAGCAGGACAGAAGGAAACTGAGCCAACTAGTGAGAAAGGCCGCTTCTATGCTAGGCTGCACTCTGGACTCAGTGGAGGAAGTGGCTGAGAGGAGGATGCTGTTCAAGCTTAAATCCATCATGGACAACATCTTCCACCCCCTGCACCAGACTGTAGAGGAACCAAGCAGCTCCTTTAATGTTTATAAAAAGGAGCGCTACCGCAGGTCATTCATCGGTTCACTGTCTCTTGGTCACGGTTTTCAGTTCGGTGCAGTTCGGTATATGTTGATTGTTAGGTGTTGCGCAATGCTCGCACACTGTTGCACTTTTATCCACACCTTTCTTTCCGCCGTCATCGTAGGTCA